CAAATATAAATGATTTTACATGGTAGTTCTAGCAAATAAACGATACAATATGAAGATGACCGTTGCGCAAAGAAGCGAGTAAACGTTCATTACACTCATCCGTTTCACGCGCCCAAAGGGCAATCTCGCCAGTTATCAGCTTCGCGCGCTCGATTCCGATCGAGAATCCATTCGAGATCTCGAAATCGCAAATCAAACTTCGCTCGAGTACGCACCTCCTCTTCACTCACTTCACGAAATAAAAATGGCTGACTTTTGAAGTTTGACACTATATACCCATTGCTTTTCTCTCTTTTCAAATCTATTAAAAATCTTGGATTTATTAATTTTCATAATTTGTAAAATAATTAAAACAATTGTAATATGTATGATTCATATTTTCTTCATTTCTTTAGAAAGTAACTTCCCCCGACTTCTTAAGGACGTGAAGTAAGTAAGAAGTGTGTATATAGTTCAATCGTAGAGATTTCCCATTCCTTGCACTCTTCCGTACATTTCTGCGTGGCACGACACAATGATCCACGATTTTCGATAAAATTAATCACGCGATGGTAATCGAAGAGACGAAGCTAACGATCGCGCTTCTCGTCTCACTTTCGTTGAGAAAGATCGTTTCGCGAGAAAGCGCTACACGCGATTTATTTTGTCTTCCTTAATCGTAAATCTTGATGCGAGGCTGGACGAATCGTCTGACTACGAGATCCTGGACAAAGTGTGAAAATTGACAGTCGAGGTAATCGCAAGAATGGACGTTTCCTAGGACGAGATAACAAATTGTCAGCTCGGTCTCCTCGATTAATCCTGATTGATTGTATTCCGTAAAAAAGAAACAAGCGTGCGGAACTTATCAATTTTTCGACAGATACGAGCAGCGTCACGACAATCGAATTATTGCTAACGAAGCCTAAAACCGCAAAATTTCTTCACGGATCGATGTGTGTGTTGTGTGTGTGGGTGGGTGGGTGTACGTGTGTTGTGTCCGTGTGTTACGTGTAAGATAAAAGATACAAAAGGATTGTCCGAGTGCGCCGAATCCCGCGTGGATCGAGAACGAGCGGGATCTCCCCGGCTGCACTGATCGGCAAACGGTATCCTACGGTGTTCGAGTCTATATTAGTGGTAATTACGATAATAATTTGTCCTTCATCAGCGTATGAATACATTGGCGTGCGCAATAATAAAAGTTTCGCATTCTCCGTAAGTCGCATGCTGTCTGTCTACGTGTGCACGCACGATCACAATATACTCGTGTCTCTGTACATTCATGTGTGTGTGTGTATATGTGTGTGTGTGTGTGTATATGTGTGTGTGTGTGTGTGTATATGTACGTATGTACGTATATATGATTTTTTTATGTGTACGTACACGCACACGGACGCACGGGTACCCGGATCGATTCGTAATCGTACAAGAGTCCATCGATATACATGTATCCGCATGCGCATACTACTTTAATGTGACACACTCACACTTTCTCTCTCTCTCTCTCTCTCTCTCTCTCTCTCTCTCTCTCTCTCTCGCACGCGCGCGCTTATGGCAATATAATAGTAGTTATATATTTTTACATGCAAAACAAAAGTTTTTATCACAGTGGGACAGCATACATTCGTTAATAATGCAATATTATGTCGATAACTTTTGCTTTTACGCCCACGTCTCTGCACTCGGTTACACCTTTCGCACCCGGTATGATCCTCCTTCGCACCGGCATCCGCATCATTGATTAATGATCGATTATTATCGCCTTGCAGCAAACGCCCGTTTCCCGTTCGCACCTTAGGATCGATCGGTCCCGCGAGCTCATCCGACCGGATGATTGTGAGGCATAATCGATGAGAGCGATTTCGTATAATCAATTAATTACGTTATGCTAATTATGTATCGCTTATTGTATAGTGAGAGTATATAATTAATTAATTATATCAAATCGTTCTCGATTAGTGCTCGTTCTGCGGTTACAATCGTTAGATCTACAATGATTACATCGATTTATTAGCGGTTTCGCGTCGATTAACTCAATTTCTACGTTGCTGTGCATCTCTCTTTCTTTTTTTTTTAAATTTTCATCTTTATGTCAATCTCTCTCCTCTGAGAAAATTCCCCCGTATCGGCCGCTGGGCCAACGCGAGAGAATTCGATTACTTATAATCGTGCGGTTGCACGCAAATACGCACAATTCATACACAATTTGATTATCATCGTATCTCTTTTTCCGCCTCTCCCTCTTACTCTTTTGCTGCAAGGCTACCTCTCATTCCCTCCCACGCACACGCACTACAACAGCTTATTAGATTCATCAATTCTTATCACCGTTTTATCGTCAGAATCAATTATCTCAGCCTACCGTGAGGTTTCACGCCCATCCGGCTGCCTCCTTCCTCTCCCCCCCCCCCCACCCCTCGGCAATCCCTCATATTCGTTTGCTTGTACAAAAGCTAAGGCAAAGTTTATTTCCACTCACTCCCTTTTCGTTTTCATTCTTTTCCTTACTCTCTCGCTTTATATCGCTACCGCTGTTAATTCTCGGAGATCACAATGCAACGCGCGAAAGCGCGCTGGTTGACGAAACATTCCTCCACGTGGTCTCACGTCTCGTTTCTTAGGGCCAGCCCTTCTTTCATTAAGTTATGATTCTCTTATATCGATCGCGTCCCTTTGTCCACTCGAGCCCGAACATCGGGTACCCACCGAAAGGCCAGGCTCACGCACATTAATATCGTCGCCTCGACGATAACGGTCGATAATTGCCTCAAATCGAACGCAGTGCCGATTAATTTCCTTAAGTCAACGTGACGACAGGTCGATGCTGCGCAAGGTCGGCCCGACGAATTACACGTCGCACACGTACGTGCAATAATAGTTAAGTATGTAATCGGATAATAAAGCGCTTGTCCCGGCGCTCGCCGGATGTCAAAGAGGACGATCCTCTAAAATATAATCCGTCGCCGTTAAAATTTCCGTCCGCTTGAAATTGTAACCGCCAGTTTTCGTACCCTAACTATTATTGCATCATACCATCACGGAGTGACACGCAGCTCGATCGCTACCTCGCGATATAGCACTCTTCATGGACCGGTCCTGCCGAAAACATTCACGCCACTGAAGTACCTCTCACTCTCGTCCTCTTCTTTCTTTTTTGTTCTTTGTACAAAAGAGCAATCGGCTCGGATATCATAGAACGACGCCGCCTCCGCGTTCGGCTTTCACGGGGGGGAAAAAATAGCAGAAAGAAAATATTTGAACCGCTCCTGTTCCGCGATCGAACGCGTGTGCTCCCCCGCTCTCTTTTCCATCCCTGCGTTTATCACTGCGACTGATTGAAATTTGTGTAGTTTTGTAGATGAATTGGATATCGAAGTATTTCAGTACGGACAGCCGCATGTAATATTTTCTATATTTATATATAAAATATAACATTACAGAATAGATTGTAAGTGGATTGATTAAAGGTGCCAATCAAACTTCTCTTCTCTTTGAAAGCAGCGGCCATTGTGAGAGACGGAGTCACGAGAGCGAGGAGATGAAACTTATCGAAATTTTATCGATTTCAATAGCGATTACGCGCCGCCAATCGCCTTTTCTGATCATTGATAGGCACGCACACGCGAGTTTGTTCGATACGAAACAACGGCAATTCTTTCGAGACGCTTCGGCGTCGTTTTCATTCTCGAAATGTTCGAGATCGTTCTCAAGATCGTCCGAAAGCTCATTCGAGACATGTCTGTTGTTCGAAGAAATGTTTATATATAGTATCGATTAAAAATCTGAATTATTTAGAACTTAAGTTAAATATTAAAAAAAATACGCACTAAATGTTTGTCTATCATACGAAAGCTTTCAACATTAAGTTTCAGTAACGTGATTTATCATTTAGATAACAAAACGTGGAAAAGGCAGAAAAATTCGTTTGCAAAAGTTTTATCTCGGATAGAAGCCTGTCTCTTACTTCTCAACTTTTAACGTTTCTAACACGCGCCATCAGATGTTTTATCGACACTATGTAATCATCTAAAACAGACTTTGATTAGCGTTAAATAGTGAATTAGCACTGGTAGATAAATACGTCAAAAAACTTCGTTGTGAATTGCGTGTCATACGGAAAACGAATGACGGCAGGATTTCTTCGCACGTGCAAAAATCAGAGACGATGAAGGGACATCGCGCGAAAGAGTATTTTATGAAGAAACGTGAGTTTGATAAAAAAAAAATATTGCAGGAAGAAATATTCGTCGGTCGGGGAAAAAACCGAAGGGTACATCATGACACTCCATTTTAGACGAAATGAATTTCGGCGGAACTTGCACGCGCGCGCACGCGCACAGAGAGAACGCGGCGCGAATCTCGCGAAATTCAATGAAAAAATATCCACGCACTCGTCTACCCCAAATATATATTTCTATAAGGCAAAGCACGCAATTTGCGCAAATTTAAGAAAGATGCGTGAAAGCTCGATCGCAATTTAGGATAAAGGTTGCTACGCGCACAATCGACGTCTATCAAAAATATTAAAAAGCCAATTTGCACAATCTCGAGACGGTCGTGTCGCGAGCCGCTTCGATCTTGGCGCTCACTCGCGACGACTCGACTCGACTCGACTCGACACGTCACGTCACAATCGATCGACACTTCGAATCCCGTGGGATTTATCAGAATCGCGTGATCGCACGTGTGTGCGCCCGTTCGCCGCGCCTCGCCCGGGAGCCTCCCCGAAGGAACTCGCGATCAACGAGGCTCGCGGTGACGCGTGATTAATACAACACGACGATTCGCCATAATGTTTCATATATAATATATGTATGTGTATACATAATATATATGTATGTGTATTTACGCACGTATATATTATAAATAATCAATTAAAGGTTTGCTTTGAAAGTAAGTAAAAATATATATAGATATATATACTCGAATATATATATATTTTTTTCGTTTTCCTCTCTTTTCTCTCTTTCTCTCATATCTGCACCATATATTTTTCTCGACGCACAACGTATCGCATCTATATAATATATATGTATATTTATTTATATAGCTTCGTTTATTTATCTCGCATGTGTATCTATTCCGTGAGTGTGTCGTGTATATGTGAATTTGTGTATGCACGCTGTGCGCGCGCGCGCGCGCACACCTGTATAAATGTAACTTTTTTTCCCACTGGGAAAACAACGACGAGCGTGACTCGCGATAGATTTCGAAACAAACGGCTGGATGACACATTCTCTTTTCCAACCAATTCGCACCTTGCTACCCCGCATCGCGGAGTTTGCCTTGCACTCGCGAAACAGTTATTACAAATGAAAGAGAGAATAACAAGATACTTAAAAATTCAAATTCAAATAAAAATTAAAGCTCTTAAACAAAGCAACAAAAAAATTAAAAGTTATCTTATTGATCATCTTAATTATCATCTTAATGAAAATTTCTCACAATTCTAATTCTAATCATATCTCGCAGCTACACAGCAGTTTCTGAATTTTGTTTTTAAAACGTTCGTCTCCGTAAAGAAGATTAAATTGGAGCGCATTCGAGGATATAAAAAATTACATTTCACATTTAAATGTAAATGGGGTTCGAAATGAGATAACTGGGCTCTCACGTGGTTTTTGCCTGCGTAAAATTTAAAAAATCAGACGAGTTTTGTCTGCAAACTAATTTTTCATTAAAAATATCGTAAAAACATACGGATATAATATATACAATATATTACATCTAATTGTTATTCAACGATCGTATTATCATAATTATTTATTATTATTAATATAACAAATGTAAAATTATTTGCATCACCAGGAGATTTTATCGCGAGTCTCACTCGTCGGTCATAATATTTTTTATAATTCGTCCTTAACACTATAAAAGAGTCGTCCATCGTCGTCGATTCGTTCCCACCGTACTTTCTCTTTGCGCCGGAAGATTAACTCCCACGAGAAAAATCACGAACAACTGCTTCAACTCGTTCCAGTGGAACTCGATAGGTTCTCACTTACTGTCCATCATGCGAAAGGCTCGATCGATGACGCATGGCATTTGCCTTACGGCAAAAATTAACGGACCGACGATCACGAGCGCGCAGACGCTCAGGAAATGGAACGTGATCGCGAACCCGCGCCTCGCGAGAGGTCAACGTCGTCGCCGTTCTGCCCTTCGGAGAGCGCGAAATACGAAACAGTATAAAATAATAAAAAGCGAACAAGGCCTCGAAGAGGAGAACGGCACGGCGAGAGACGACGAGGATGTCCGCGAGACCGGTGGAGAACGAAGCGAACGGACGACGGACGGCGCATTGGACAATCACGTGGTAGCGAGAGCCAGGCCGCCTGCCTCTCCCGCACCTCTCCACCCCCTTCTTCGTCGGTATAAAAAAATCTTAAACTACCTAAGCCTATGTAATCCGAAACGTTCGAAATGAGCAAACGAGAGCCTTTCGTTCACCGTTTTTTTGTCTTCCGCGCGGCCACCACGCCGCTCTGCGCTTTTCTTCAGAATGAAAAGGGAGACGCCACGTCGATCTTCCTCGCTTGTTCGTCGTGCGATATATACGAGATTACACAGTCGCGGAAGAGATAAAAGCGTAGGGGACGAGAAGCATCGTGCTCAAATACTCCCCACACATTCACTCTATGTAATTTAAAATTGATACAAATCGCACTTCGATACAGAATACTTCGCATGCTTCTTTAACGATGCATCTAACACCAAAAATGATCGTCCGATCTACGACATGAATAACGAGTGACGATTACATTTAGCGTCAGATGCGTTATAAAATTTTTTCAATTCTTATTCGATTTATCTGTTCGAGCCCATCGATTTGCGTTTCTCAGACCTCTGCTCGATTACGATGGCGCGAGAGAAACTTGAGAAACCACCGATCTCTCTCGTTGCACGTGAAGCGCTCCCGATACACTCTCGCCGTTTACCGACCGCTCTGTAAACGTGAGATTTCTCAGGCACGCATCCGCGTATTTCTTTCTTTCGTTTCGGTGGTTCAGATCAGGACGCAGCAAAGAAACGATTAAAATAAAGAGGAAGGAAACGTAAGAGAATAACGACGACAAAGAGATACTCTATTGACGGACAATAGAAAGACAAAGTTTCACGTTTCTGGACAAAGACTAGCATCGTTCTTTTGTATTTTATCAATTGATTTTTCTCTCTTGCTCTCTTTTCGCATACTGGCAATTTTATACTTATTGTTACTTTTCACTCGTCATTCTTAATTCTCGTTACGTCCTGATCTTTCCTCTCATCGCCGCTATCTTCGAGAACGTTCAAAGCTGAGATTGGGACCCGTGACAGCGAGAAAGATTGACGCAACGCGTTGATCGCGAGGACGTACATTGAAAGTTATGGCGGAAAAGAAAGCTCACGGACGTTCGAGGAAAGAAGGGGTGCAGAGAAGAAAGGAAAGAAAGAATAAGTTGGGAAATTAGGGACAAAAGCGACCGGAAACGACAAACGCGATAACTTTTCTCCCTCTGCTCGCAGACAATCCGAAAAAAATCACAGACAATATATCGAGATATATATCTCCTTTCTCACAAATCTGCTTGGCATAACGTCTGAAATCTATTGTATAAAAAAAAGCTCTCTCTCTCTCTCCCTCTGTCATCGAGAAAACTTCATCGCGATCCGCTGCGGAACGCGATCGAGGAAGGACAACGAAGATATCCGGTCCATCTTCGCGATTAAATCCGAAGATTCAACCACGAGAATCGAGTGGGTCCACTCTTCAATAACTCGAGGAAATTCGAAAAAGTCATGTTACGAATTAATGTACGATTTTTAATGTTAGTGGGAACAGTCCTTAAAATTTCTCATCGGAAAAAGTGGACCTGCAGGGTTCTCGTGATCAGTTTTTCTGTTACTATAAAATGGTATAAAGACGCTCCACGGTTTTACGCAAATTTCGCTCGACTACATCATAATATCACTATCATAATTCAGCGTAAAAAAAAATAAAGACGCCGGCGCCATTTATGCAAATCGCGCGCGCGCCCTTTGTTGGAGTCGCGAACGGTGTGCTCGCGCAAGAAGCGATCGGGAATTTCGAGCAACGAGGAAGCGATCATCTTTCGACTTTTGAACGAACACGTTTAACCCTTAAAAGCCTAAAATAATCGTATTAGGTCGCGATGAAATTATCCAAACCTTGATATTCATACAACGTGAATTGATACATTAAACATATATCAAATGCAAGTTTTGTAGGAAAAGACGAAATGTACGTTACACTACGCAAAAAATATTAAAGAGCGATGAGTAATAGCACGTGATCGAGATAAACTTATTGCACGAAAAGTCATGAGTGTCATTTATGGCTACTTCACGTGATATGTTAACGCAGTAAGCTCTACTCATAGTAACATAAACATTTGATCAGTGACTATGACCTCGAACTATAATCATCGAGCTATAATCATAACGAAAGATAGAGATACAACGCGTATCAAAAAGATACTACGCTTTCATAAATAATTTTCATAACATTTTTTATAGCACTGTCTTTTCTAAGAATGGCACGACTCGAACTACATAGGTGGCCATCGTATGCAGCTAAATAATAACGAATCACTAACGCAAAGTTAGTTTCAAACTAAATGATATCCGCCCGATACGAGCTAATTAAGATTCTGAGGATTCAGGCTGTTAAGGGTTAGACGATTTGTACGAGACACGACTACCCTGATTACCTGAACAATGGAATCTACGCGAACGAAGCGGACCTCGCTATCCCGGTCGCTGATCCGACGGCGTGTCTTTGTAATGCCGACGTTTCCGAGCGGATCAATTTCTACGCAATTACAGGCGTCAAGGTCAAAAACGCTTTTTGTTCCGAAGAACAAAAACTCTCGGTAGCGGCGGAGACGTATCATCGTCCTGCCGTAATGTCGACGCAGACCTTCGACCCTCCGCGTCGTGTAAACCCTGAGGGAGAGCCAGTGGTATCCGTCATTGGTACTGTTGGTCCAGTTAGTCGAGAGGTTCCCAAACACTCTTACTCCAGCAATTCTTTGAATCTGACACTCCTCTCTTTGCATCCCTTGCAATAATGTTTACGAACGCGCGGATACGAAACGTGACTCCAATCGATATTAGTCACGTATGTAGAAAATACAAGTCAGAGTCTCAAATCCGCTCTCGCGCTTACTTATCCTCGTCACATTTCGTGAAACAAAGATTCAAATGATTTCAAAGATTAAAAAAATTCAAGAGCTTCCGAATCGTCTTTACACAACGATTAAGCAATATTTTAATATTTATTTAACATCCGATAGTATAAAAAAGATTCTACTATTCTAGAATTATCTTCGAAGATTTGAACTCATCTGCCTTTTACTTCGGACATTCTTCCGAACACAAGTCCATTTTGGGCGTCGCGATGCGCCGTTTGGGAACCTCCGCATTAGTCGAAACGATCATTATCGTACCACGATAACGCATATATATCTAATTCTATCGCTACTATCTCTTACGATTACTATCGTTACGGCTATTATACGCTTCGTCGAAGTGCTCCGTACTTTCGGCGAGCTTGCGATCTACCTATTACGATGGTTCGACTATGATTAAGCAACCGACACTAGGTTACGTGCTGTCACGATATTTAATTCGCGCCAAGTTTGCGTTTTCTCTCACTGTGAAACATACGCATAATTATTGTACGCGATTTTAGGAAACGTTCCGAACGAAGGAGCGTTTTGTCTCGCGGCGGAACGTGTTTCGAACTCGTCGAGGAAGGCTCGCGCGACGCAGCCGATCTGCCGATCGTGTCGGCGAATGATGGCTTGTTGCAGCAGAACTCACGTGTGGCTGTGCGCGGATGCGTGAACATACTCGGACTCGAGCGGATCCTGATCGCGGCGCTCGACAGGCCAATATTATGTGTGCGGCATGACGAGCTGATTCTCGTGGGGCGGTCGCGCGAACGGCGATTGATTCTGAGTGTGAATCTGTAACTGCTTCTGCTGGGCCTGCAGTTGCGCGAGCGCCGCGGGCGGCGCGAACGCGGGGTAGGCCAGAGTGGTGGTCAGGCACTCGTTGTGCTCCTCCAGGGAGTTCTGGGCGTAGTGCAGCACCAGGTGTTTCAGGCTCTCGTGAATGTTGTACGGCTCGGCGAAACCGTAGCCGCGCTCGGTGGCGTATATTATGCAGTGCTGTACCGTGCCGTTGCACCTGTAACACCACGATTCTCGAATAACACACGGCACAAATCGCGAAACCATCTAGGTCAATGAAATACGACCTTTAAAATTTGATTACTCAAATTTTCCAGGGGAACCTGGAGAAGAGGATTAACTTTTGTTTTAAACACTAGGAGTTTCCCATCCTTTTTTTGGAAAAGGGTTACGTTACAATCTTTATAATGACTGGGGGGGATAAGTTTTTAAAACCAAACATCTTTTTGAAAATTCTTTATATTGTAAACGTCAATATTGACCTGGATTCAGACTAGGAATTCCTATTTTAAACGATTAATTTGTTATTTCTATTATTTGTGTTGTAATCTTGCATGGCTTAGTGTGTCTGTAATAATTTATTCTATATAATTTATTCTTAGTTCGAGATCACTGTATCAAAGATATAAATAAAGATAAAAAGTACTTACACTATGGAAAGTGCGTACTGGCCCGTTCTCGATCGGCGAACAAGGAAAGTACCGTCAGGCCGGCCTTTTAGAACATGATCGGCATCGGGACGAGAACCCTGCAAGTAGAGCCACGTTTTCTCGTCGGAATGAACCGCGAAGTCCACGTCCTCCTTGTTCTGCTTCATCCCATTCTTCTTTAACCATCTGCAATGTTTCCAGGGAATAAATTAAACAATTCTCGGATATGAAAGAAAAAGAGAAATTTTCAGCCGAGTAAAGCAAAATACGTACAGAGAATGGCGATCCTTCTGTCGCACGAGCATTCCGATCTCCGACTTCAATCTATACATTTCTCTCTCGAGGGTCCTATAGTAGGCAATCTGTTGCTTCAAACTCTCATCCAGCTGTTCTTTGCTATCTTCTAAGGCCTTCAGTCTTCGCTTTAGCAGTTCTGAATTGTCCGTCAAACTGCAATTATCAAACATAATAACATAATCAATGATCTCAATTTCATCGTTTCTTACTTCCTACGGAAATGAGATTCGATGAACGTCATGGTCAATGTAATCACTGTGGGACATTGAGACAAAAAGTTCAAGCTTACTTTCAAATGCTTCATAAAAATTACTGAAAATATGAATTTTTTTTAAGAGTCCTAAAGTCAACAAGAGCACTCACGTAGAAATCTCATGGGGCTGGGCTTCCTTCTGGAATCTTTCTTGCAGCTTCATCTGTTCCTCAAACATCTTAATAGCCTCCGTAAAGGCTTCTAATGCCTGACGCTTCAACTGGACTTCGTAGGCCGTTTTGCTGTAAATATCCGAACAGTGTTGATACTGTCGGATTGTATCGGTTATGTCCTTTTCCAGCTCGACAAACTTCTGCACGACTTTCGCCATGTCGGTCGTATTTGCGATCTCTTCATCCTGTTTCTCGGAAAACAAAATGGAATGATGTTCAGAGACAAACACAATGAAATCACAGGTCGTGAATCAGAAAGTTCCAGAAAGATACCTGTTGAAGTCGCGACACCGGATAGAGCAGCTTAATATCCAGCACCGAATTATACTGCGCGAGCGAACAGTTTCTGTAATAGTCGACCAATTCGATAACCGAGTGGAAGTTATAAGGATCCGAGAATCCGTATTTCCCGTTTCGATGACTGATCTTGATGAGTTTGTTGGTCCCGCCTTTACGCAGCGTCAGAGTGTACTCGCCGCCCTTGGAAGATGCATTGCGTACCAGAAATGTGCCGTCCGGCGAGTCGATCATCATCTCGTTCACCTCGTCCCTCGTAATGTCACCCCAGTACCATTCGGCATCCTGTAGCGCGCGCGGCCTGGAATGTTTTCGGCGACAATTACGATTGGTTAGGTTAGGTCGTCATTTGCATCACATTTAGTTACAAACAATTGTCATAAATCTTAGAAGTTAACCGCACAAGAGGAAAAGCGGAACGAAAGTTAAATGAGGCGTTAAAGTTAAATCGAGGGAACGAACGGAAAGTCCAATGTTGAGTTGGAACTAGAAACTTTGTAGCTTGGATCAAGATTTGGATTGAAATCAGAGTCAGATTTGAACGTCACCTGTGCATCTGTTGGTCCTTGCCAGTATCTGTACCAGGTGCCGTTCTGTCTACAGCCTCGTCCTCGAGAACCGGGAATGGATCCAAAATCGGAAATTGTGGTCTCGAAACTTTGCGTGGCGGCAATTGCGGAGGACTGGCAAACTCCGGTAGCCTCTCGTTCCAATCGCCGTGCAGTAACAGCAATTCCATTATACGTATATGTGCCTCCGTGTTTTTGACAACTTGGCTGTAAAATTGCGCAGTGCAAAGTGCTACATTCTTCGAAACTATTACGTTCCTATCGAACCAGTAATCTTAAAACTATTAATAATATTATAGTTAAAAAACCTGTTAAAACTCGCAATTAAAACCAGGAAAACCAGTTCATTTCTTTTCATCACTATGACTGTATTATATCGTTACGTAATATATAATATTAATATGTGTCCCGGAATCTATATATAATACTTTTCGCGGTAGAAAATTAAATAAGCAAACGCCAACAAGTTAGAAAGTCGCATTCTTTTAATTTATATAATTAGCCTGCTAGCCGACGAGATGGAAAGCAAGCTTGTTACTAGCATCCTCGAATACGTCGCCGCTTTTTCTGGCGGCACTAGTGCGTCGTCAGTGATAAAAAAAAAGGATCGTGTGAACCACGCTCCCAACTCTTCCCCCCACGACCGAAAGAATCCACGTGGCACTCACATGATTTGCTCCCAGGGCGGCCTAAGAAATATATGGCAGAGCACTTGCACGAGGATGGTCGGCGGTTCCGTGTAACCCCGTCCGTGCTGCAGCTGGCAGATGCGGCAGAAGTGCGCCATCAAATGGCACAGTGTGCTACGATGGTGCTCCGGTAGCTCCGCTACTAATTGATTCAGACGCGCTGCGCACTGCTCATCGCTCTTTATACCTGCGGGACGAAAACAGATTCGGACGGTTGCGATCGAGTCGCGGACTGCGATAATCGATTTGAAAAAAAGGGGGATTAAAAAATTGATTTAAAAAAAAAACAGGTAGTCAGTTTTGAGCAAAGTGTTCGATTGCAAGATATACTCACTCCACGCTTCCAGGAACCTGTCGTACCATTGCACCGGAATTACCGGGTCCGGTAATTCACGCAGGAACTTTTTCAGGACGCTGGCGATACACTGGGGAGTGTACGGACTCAGATCCGCGTTGCAGACGTCTGAAAATATAATTACGTCACCGTTGTTCTACGTCCAGTCGGCTTCAATCGTCGATCAATGATATTTTCTGAATCGTGTCGATGTAATTAATTGCACCGATTATTTAGATTCGTATTATGATAATTAGTCATTGCGCGCAAGTAATTTGAAGCGGAACATCTCTAATTACGGAGGGATCGCGGCTAATTCATCTCGCCCACGAATTAGCGATCCCCATCTCTTTTTCTCTCATCAAGTTTTAAGCTGGAAACACGCGAAAAAACTTAAGACCTGAGAATTTCAACTAATCGGAATTTTCAGCATTGCTTAAGTTTCAAAATGACTGCTTACGTTTTCGACCGTTATCGATCACTTCCTTTAAGTCTTAAGTTTTTTCCTGTGATGTCCGTTTATAAATGGCTTGATCTTTGAAGAGAAATTGTGAAAGAAGTGCATTCAAATGCAGTGAAACGATAATGATAAGCAAATACATATCAAGTCGATAAAATTTCGGTTCGTTGAACGCGGTGCTAAGCGGACAATCGACACGTTGAGCACAGCCTTGAAATCTGCGCGATATGATACAGAACAGTAGCAGTCTCTCTCTCCCTCTCTCTCGGGAAATGTGCAAGTTTTCTGAACATCACTTCGAAAACAGCTGATTCACGTGCAACCTGCAACGCCGCGCGAAAACTTCGAAAAGTGTTTCGGGGATGTACAAATATTAGATTTATCGCAAGGAGTGCAGGAATACGCACAGTGGCCGTGGAACGGGGGACGCAGAAAGCGCGTCTGTTTAATTTTGACCGCGTACCCCAGAAAATATTCGAGATTTTGGAAATATTGTGATACAAGCGCGCAAAAGAATATAATTAACCATTTAAGAGAGCGACAGTAACCGTCACATAAGATCACGAGTGAACAGTTGTTCACGTTGCGCTCCGTTGCGAGCTCAAAACTGCGCAAATTTTTCGTGTTAATCTTTCTTGTAGCTTCTAGGTTTCTCGTAATTTCGAGCTCCAAATTTTATCTCCGAAATACAAGGGATGACAACAGACTTAAGCCAACGGCACACGATACTGTTTTTCCTACTGGATTGCTTGCGAGAACCAATCAGGATTTAAGCCAACGGCACGCGATACTATTTTTCCTGCTGGATTGCTTACGAGGGCCAATCCGGATTTAGCCTTAGGTCACCTGATCTAAAACTCTGCATCCTTATGGCTCTCGTAAACAATCCAGCGGGGAAAAATAGTATCGTGTACCGTTTGCTTTAGCCTTAAGTCAACTGATCTGAAGCCACCAGCACACGACGCTACTTTTCCTACTCGATTACTTACGAGAACCAATAAGGATGCAGAGTTTTCGATCAGGTGACTCAAAGCTAAATCCTGATTTTGGCTCTCGTAAGGAATCTAGTAGGAAAAATAGTATTGTGTGCCGTTGGCTTTAGATCAAATTACTTAAGGCTAAGGCCAACGGCACACGATACTATTTTTCCTACTGGATCGCTTGCGAGAACCAATAAGAATGCAGAGTTTTAAATCAGATGACGTAAGGCTGAATCCTGATTGGCTCTCATAAACAATCCAGTAGGGAAAAAAATAGTATCGTGTGCCGTTGGCTTAAATCCTGATTGGCTCTCGTAAGCAATCCAGCAGGAAAAATAGTATTGCGTAACATCCTGTATAATCTAAACAACTCATTTATACTAATATTATTTCGTGCCCCCTCTGAAACAAAAAAGGTTTCGGAATCTCTGGATACGCAGCCGAATCTTTGTCCCCGAGAACCCGAAAGGGAGAGAGCTCGCGAATTCCGCTCGCCCCGTCCCTGAGATCTCGATCTGTCCCACGGAATATAAGCGCTTTCCTGGCGCCCTCCGTCGCGGGAGAGGGAGGAGGGCGCGACGGAGGGGAAGAGGAGTCAGCTTCCACAATGCAGCGTGCATCTGGTGGCGCGGCTCGACATTTTTGCAACCCGCGAGCCGAACATCGGTGGCACGGCCGCTACGCCAGGCTATTTATAGCCGCGCGCGAGGTCCGAACCTGCCGGCCGACCCGCCCGCCCGCCCGTCCTCTTCTTACCTTCGTTCAGCTTCTGTCGCAGCTCGAGGGTCTGCTCGTTAGGCGGGCTGCTGTGGTAGACTTTGTAGAGGTCCAGCGTCGTGTCAGCGAACGCCTGCTCCTCGAGGGCGCGGGTGCACCGCTCCACGAGAATCGGCGCCGTGCGGCTGGCGGTGTCGAATTGCGAGCAGAGCGCGAGACCGAACACTGCAAAGTGCGACAAACATTCGTGGCGATTCCGTGAATTCTTTGCACGCGCGCGTCCGGGGCCGCGGCGGAGAGAATTTTGAAACGCGAGACGTAACCCCCTCCCCCCCCCCCCACAGGGGCATCGTGCTGGGTCTCGCGTTTCAAAATTCTCTCCGCCGCGCCGCGTCGCGCCCGAGGTACGGCCTCTCCGCAGGCCGCGATTCTTAAGGGCCGAAGCTCTCCGTCGCAACATTGTAAAAGGCGGCCAGTCTAAACAAACACTTTTTCGCACATACATATATTATCATAGTGTAACTATTAGGTCCACTCCGTCATTTATTTGGCTTTGCCTCGATCCCTTCTGCGCATTCGCCATTATTTTGGTCAAGCCAGCGAGAGAAAAGTTGTATGTGTGGCTTTGATGAGTACGTACAGTAATGGGCAGAATGGTTGCGACACTTTTTTTTTAGTAAGTTTAGAAACGCGCATTTTATAGATTCAGGTTTCCATTCCAAAACATTTGCACTGAGGAAAATTTTGCTTGAGAAATAGATTGAAAACGCTCGAAATGGTTTCGAAACGTGGTCATCGAGTAAAATAATCCTCGAAGATTTTGGACGTAACCTATAATTAAAGAACCCCGCTGGATTGCTGACCAAAGCAATGGCGGAATACCACGTGATCGGGACCGCAAAGATCAAAGGGGCCGACGGAAAGTGGACCTACTAGTTAGGGCCTGAGCAGAAAGATTGTCGTAAACGTACGTCGCATTCATACGTCTACGACAATTTTTTGTGCGTTGACTTCCGACACCGACTTCAGTCTTACGACAGAATTATAAACGGTCACAACAATCTTTCTGCTCAAGCCCTTAAGGCCGAATCAGACTAGCAATTGCTGACTCGGATTGGATTGGGATTGGCGATTGACGATTGTCTTCTAGCCAATGAGAGCAAAGCAGCCAGCGATTTAATCGGCTCTCATTGGCCAGAAGATAATCCTCAATCGCTAATCCCAATCCAATCCGAGTCAACAATTGCTAGTCTGATTCGGTCTTTATGGCTGATGGCAGAGAGCGATCCGTAAACGCTAAGACTTACAATTAGTCGTAAACGTAAGGCAAGGTAGAGAAAAACATACAAACATAAGTCATATGCAAAGCCTTTTACGTTTTTCCCTGCCTTGCCTTACGTCTACGACTAATTGTAAGACAGTTTTAAGCGTTTACGGATCACTCTCTGCCAGAGAAAAACGTAAGTCGTATACAATAGCCTTTTAAGCGTCGTCTACAATAACCGGCGTAAGCGTGGAGTAAGAAGTAAGAGCAGGCGTAAAGGCTATTCTACAATTGCGTAAACGTGGTTGTTAGCGGTTGTACAGTGTTGTAAAACACAGTTTTAAACTAGCATTTCCGATTGTAAAGCCTGTTGTAAAAGATGGCTGAACTTGATCTTCCACGACTACAACGATATAGGACGTAAAAGCTAACTAATCATTCATTTCAATTACGACGTATCTCACTCTATTGTATATTACTTTGATGTACAACACTTACTACTACTTCTACTCCTACAACCCTACAACTACGTTTACGCAATTGTAGAATGGCCTTTAGAGAGCTACTTCCGGTTTAATAGAGCTGGAGTAAGGGCGTAAGCGAAATGAATTATTTTTATTTCTTACGCCTACTCTTACTCTTACGCCTTTTCACGCATGCCTACAACACCTACTTCACCGTATTGTAGATTGAGTCGGCGTAAACAGCTTACGCCAAAAACGTTACTCCTACTCTTACTTCTTATTCCACGCTTACGCCGGTTGTTGTAGACGACGCTTTACGACTTACGTTTTCCTCTGCCTTGCCTTACGTCCACGACTAAGACAGTCGTAAGCGTTTGCGGATCGTTCTCTGCCGGCAGCCTTATATTATAGTATAATCGTACTTTTAATTCTTTTCGCCTTTTATTTGTCCTTTGTCTCTCGCGGACACGCTCGAGGATCCCGAGAAACGCCGTGCGAAACCGCGATCAATCGCGGGCCGCGCGCTCCTCTTCGTCCGCGAGGCGTCGCCGGATGCGAGCGCGAAATTCGGCCGGAGGACAAAGCGACGGCGGAATTGCGTAATAAGCCGCGATCGCGTCGCGCACGAGGAATGCCCTCAGGAGGAGAAGGAGAAGGAGGAGGAGGAGCAGAATTCCTGGCGGTTCCTCGCGGATTTTCGCGCCCGAGCGAGCCGCTCCTATCGCTTTATCGCCCACGGCCGTCCGCGCTTCTTTCTTTCTTTCTTTCTTCAATCGCCTCCGTCTCTTCTCTTCTTCCTCTCCCGCTCTCCACTCCGTTTTATTACGGCTGACGAACCTTTGACTTTATTTTCGCGCGAGGATATACGGCGCGATCATATTTTCAGACACGATCCCGTTCTCCCCCCCCTTCTCTCTCTCTCTC